ATAAACTCTCATCTTCATTGTCATTATCGTAAGGTAAGCACGAGTGATTGCATATTGTTTGAATAACAGATATGTTAGATTGAGGAAGATATAACCATAGTTCAACTGGATCAGAGCTGCGTGCGACTTCCCGGGAAGTGGCATGATCTGAATGAAGACCACCGACATTGAAATGTAATCGAGGACGGCTTAAATTACGTTTGGAAGGACTACGTATAAAGGGCTGCAGAAGAAGGTAAATGGAAACTATAAAGCCAAAAATCTTATGAGTACTTGACATCTACTTCACAGGAGTTCATTATGAGTTTGTAAATTTTGATATCTGCACAACAGGTCTCAACGCCAGGATCATCTGTTCTCTCTAAGTCGTTTCAACAGATGAGCCATTGAACGTGCTCCGAAAAATCTGATTAGTAAACGAAATAGTGCTATTTCAAATTCCTAGCACATATGTCTGGAATGACATGTAACTTGCAAGGCCTTTCAATATTTCACTTAGTACCTACATTCAGAACCAAAATTTTGTAATTTCCATCTTCTTCTATCTTTCTATGCACACATTATTTCCCTGAAATTTGGATAACGGTACGTTTAAAGGCAGATTTCAATGAAAAAATCCAATTTGAATGGTTTCATTTATCCTCCACCACTTTTCCTTCCTAGATACTCACTATCGACGCGCTTGGGTCTCCATAGGTCCTCGTCACAAGCATTCGCCGGCGTTGTAAATCGAAAATAAAATTTCCACCTTGAGACCAAGTTATTACCAGGATTACGGTGATTCGTTAACATGTGATGCCAAACGTGTACTCAGTCTCTTTTTGCAGTTGTTGATATCGTACGTGTCGCCGCTTATAGATATATTCCTGCCGATGGTTCAATGCCATTTCTAGCTTCAGTTTCCTGTACCCATCAATAAAACCTTTGGACTTGGCTGCTAATCGGAGATTTTTGGCTTTTCTCATGGATGACTTTGAGTGCTGATCAAGTAAGTTCTGTTGTAATCTCAAAAGAACAGTTAGATAGCTTTTCCTGGTCTTCAGTCACAGCCTTCGTAGATAGGTGATGCTTTCAAAGCGTCTACAGCACAGATTCACTGCTCCTTAGAAATGTGAAGATTGGTTGGCAGGCAGCGATGATGAAGCAGATATTTGTGCACACTGAATGACATTTCTCTGTATATGATAAATCAATCAAACTCATCTTCAAGATGATCGAAGCAAAAAAAAGTTTCAGGTGCTATACTTGCAAACGTATTGAATGCTAAGCGGTGCGATCTTGACGTGATTCCTCTCACGGTAATGCAAGGTGCTACGACATTGCGCCTTCTTGCAATTTCCGCGTTATTTAGAAAACGTTGTTTGCTAAATAATCTTCGTCATAATAGACAGAAGCATTTCGCTTAACCTCTAAGGGACGGCATGTGTCAGCTGAGGTACACGATTGTTTAAACGCCTTTGTCGCTGAAGAAATCTTTTCTCTTGGACACTTAGTAATCATTCAAAAGCTTAAATCTGCAGTTTCAACAATATGCTTGACTATTGAAAAGCTGATCTATTACGTTGTGACAGTAAAAATAATATTTTGTTTCACTCTCAGTTCGCTTTATTTGCAAGGCTGGAGGCTTATCTATGGCTCCTTACCAAACCCTTATTGTATAGACCAAATCTCGAGGATCCTGACATTGTAATTAGTTTTCAAAAGACCACGTTTCGCTTCAAAGATTTTATCATACACAAAGTCCTAAATGCACAATGAACATATGACCATGTAGAGAAAATCATGGAGTATCAGAGTGACACAAAAAACCTAAGGTTCACTTTCCAAATGGAGGAAAAATCGCACTTAAATAAAAAAAAATCGCGTGCCTTTGGCGAGTTGCATTGTTCAATTGATCAATTGCCGTCCTAAAAGGTTGAATATCTTCAAATGCGTTTTTATAAGTAGCTGCAATATATTTCATGATAAAAGGCTTGACGTAGATGTTACGGAGTCTTCAAAGACTTTGTACATATGAAAAAACGTAACTGATTTACACATACTCAGATCATTTCATAATTTTAGTTGGATTTGCAATTCAAACTATTCTTCAACCAACACCTTCAAGAAATCTTTTCAACTCATCGACTACGGTGGGTTTTTTATTGTATCACCGCCAAATGTTTGCCTAAGAGCCTAACCTCTGTTTCACTAGGAACTCTCACAACAGTGCAGCATTGTTGCACTAAAGGACACCTACAAAGATCGGTAACTATCACATAATTCCTCTCATAAGTGTCGTGTGGGGAGCTCCTCCATTGGGTGACCATCAATTGGATTTAGAGAATGATGAGCTTTTACGATTACCAGCCATGAGTAATGGAGTGTACACCACTGCCCGTTCGGTTATTTCATCACTTACCGACGTCTGTAAATATTTTGTCTACGGTTCCTCTTTGTAAGGGATAGAACCCGGAGGAACTGATTGAACGAAGACGCACCGTGCAACTGGCGAAACTGCAAGGCTGAAACACGTGTACTGTATGAGAATATTGTTGCACTATGAAAGGGCCCATGACACACCACATGCATGGCTCAAAAATAACTATCGGGCACAATGATGTTGAAGCATAAAAGTCTACGGTACCTCATTGTCTCTCTCTTATCAACTTTTACCCTTTCGCGAAAGCGGTCATTTCTACGTCGCATACCCATCGGAGCGCAAAACACGTATTGAAATCAAGATGCACGATCCATGGAACTATGTAAAATCGACAGTGGATCAGTTTCTTGAGACTATTGTTCTATTGCACAGTTCCTTTTCATATATGCCGTGCTTTTCAACTTTTCTTTGATCCCGACAAAATAATAAGTTCATTCTCCCAAGCTCTCTAAACCATTACTACCTTTTCTGTATGGTGAAAAAGATACTCGTCCATCACTCAGTCATAGTGCTGTCAGCTTTCGATGAATCTGTGTAAATTGTAAAAGAATGTTCATTTTGTACTCCATCCTTTCCTTAGAATGTCTAAAAGTCACCACAGCGATGAAAAAAAAATAGAAGAAACGCTTGTCAAAAATGATGCTACGTGCTGCATGTGATGTACTAATTTGGTCAAAAATTGAATTATTGTGGGCTTCATTTTGTCGGGAACAGATGCCAGATAATCCCAGCGAATTTTTTTGCCGACGGTGAAGAGGAGGTTTGACACGGTGAGAGACCTCTCGATGTCACTACTCAGTGATATGAAGAAAGAAGATAGAAAGGTGAGAACTGTGAATATTTCAATGACTCCAATGTGGAAGAGCAATTCTAGAAGAAGGCATCGATTATAAGATGATGGCGGATCTACTGGATCACATTCAATTTAGATTCACTATTTTTTTACATCCTGTAAAGCAATTGAACTCCACATATTGGGCAATCAATCTCGTTATTTTCTTCTCTTTTCTGAAACTCATTTTTGTTTTTGTGCTTCTTCATTAATGCATTCGTTATCCCCGCAGTCTTTTGTTTACTACCATTATGAAAGTGGCCAAAAATCTCATTAGTAGCGTTTGCCGACAAATGTGGATCTTGGAGTTGCTGCTTAATCAACACCTTCTAGAAGATGATATACACATACTCTACACATCATATCGAAGCGATAAGGAATCTTCTACACTACGTGCAATTCAAAACTGATTTCAGCCAGTTGAATGATCAAGGAGAAGAAAAATTGTTATAATTTCCCTTTAAAATGTTTTTAGAGACTTAAAATTTCAACATGCCTTATAGCTATTTTTGAACCGTGCATGAGGTCTGTTACCTTGCTCTGTATAAGTGTCCAGAACAGACATCATACTTCACTCAAAAATAACTATAAGGCATATCGAAATTTGATCGAGATCTCAAGAAACACTCAGAGGAACGGTGTGATATTTCTCGATTACCAGCTAAGAGCAATTGATTACGACACTGTCCGTTCGGTGATTTAACGGGGCGTGTAAAACATTCTTCGTCGGCTCCTCTATGTAACGAGTGAATCTCCGAACTGACTGAACGAAGCAACTGACGAGGCTTCAAGGCCGAAAGACGTGTATTGCACTGCATAAGTGCCAATAACAGACCTCATGCATGGCTTGAAACTAGTCATAAAGCAAAAGAAAAATAGTTGTAATGATGATGAGACTATCAACACATAGGTAGGCGTGGTAGCGCTTCAAGATACCTGACTCTCTGGAACAGTCACTTAGGAAACAGAGGTAATTATTCTGTTTGCGTCAATGCGATGACGGTCCAGTAAAACAAAACATGTACCGCAGTGGCCCGCACTGTGCTTGTATTCTTTTCACAGGCTAACACCTACAGGATGATTGGGTGTACTTACTGCTCTACGCATTGCGTAGCTCCTCTGATTCATCTATGGATCTGGGGCTTCGGGGTACATAGACTCACACCTATTGCATAATCATGTGCCGTTTTCATTCCGTCATATTTCGCTATTTCGTATTTCTATTCATGTTGTGATTATCGTGCACTACAGTCCATTCGTTAATGGTTAATGGCATAAATTTGTTGAAAAAATAAACGCAGAACAGGCGCATCGGTAGTGCAATTGGTTGGCATACGCCCCGGAAAAGGTGAAATGTGGATTCGATTTATTCAACGGCGCTCGTTTCATCTCATCAGACCCGCGTGGCAGGAATATCCACTACTCATCGTACATTCAACGTTAATTCAACTTGCAACGCAAAACCTCTCGCAACTAAGCCAAGCCAAACGATTCCAGCGCAATCAGCACTAAGCCACCGATTATAATCCAACCGCATAAGCCACTAAATTTCTACTGCAACACATCTGTTCCTGCACGGACAACCAAAACTTAGCACCTGGAAGAAATGTTGGGTTGGATGTCATATGAAGACAAAATATGATATTCACTGATTTGGTACAATATGTACTACATAGCTCTGTACCAGATGCAACAATGTGGTAACTATTTCTGAATCTAAGCGGACTGAGTGGTGAGCAAAATTACGACCTCAGACAGGACTCGAACCCTCGTTTCATCCATACCGGGGACGCGTGCTACTACTACTACATCACCGAGGCACATTTGCGCCACTATTCATTCTCCAACATCTCTGTATTAGCTATCAGTCACCAACCCTTAACAGTTCGGTCGTGTATGCGATTTCGCTTTATAAACTTCGCTGTTTTTGTTCACCACTCAATTCTCTTAGGCATGTAACCTCATAACACTGCGAAAAAAGCAATAAACAAATACTAGAATTTCGAAGTATTTCTGAATCGCTTCGACTTTGGTTTGCAAGATTTGGTTTACTTGCAGAAAGAAGAGTTTTCGTCGGTGAGTTGTAGACTCTGGAGGGGGCTGTGGCAGAGTGATACTCGTTATTAGCGATGTTCGGCTCAGAATTGATCACGCAGCCTGCTAACAAACTCCGGCAATCGATATCTAATACCTTAAGGATTGTCCTGGCCTGGCTATCCTCGAGATTGCAAAGAGACGTGCTCGATCAGTCTTCTACGACGCTCGTAAAGAAGATGAAACGTTCAAGCAAGCGAGGACGCGAACCGCATACTAGAAGTACTGGCACCCGTAGAGTAGGAAGAAAACTGCGATACGGATCAAATAAAGGTGAAGTAATGAAAAATAATTGTAGACTCTGTGTCGGAACTGCATTCTCTATGCAATTATAGGGAAGAAGGGATTGATAATAATGGTTACAAATCCTCGTTAGGTAAAGTATTTTGAAGGTAATTCTAATAAACTTTATGTAAGAAGCGTTTATGAATTGTAGTACAGATTTTATGTGAAGAAAGTTTTTTTTGTAGGCTGTTGCAAGACTGTACTGCAAAATAAACGTTGTTAAGTGAAACTTTCACAACATCGAAATGATACAAGGGTACAAATGGAGAATGTGCATTTCCCCAAAAACCCTATTTCATGTACTGATGAATACGCATTCTGTCTACACTAAGCCCTGCTAAAAACTAAGAATACCTCCATATAAGCTTCCTCAGAAGGCGTACACTGCAATAAACCCTAAAATATGAACTAAGTAGCTACAGTAGAAGATAACCAACAGTAGGGAGTATAATGTTGTCGACATTAACGGTAACAGCCTCGACGGCAGAAAGAATAAGGGAAACAAACACAATATGTGCGCACGAAGGAAGTGGAGGAACACAGAATGGCCGCGCCAACAACAGAAATATTGTAGTCGCTACAGCCATCGCCGTTGAACCCTCGACGGATTTCTTTCCCCTGAAAAAGCAAATCAGATCTACATTATCGTATGAGAACTTTAAGAAACCTGCTCATTTGAGTAAGTATATTGAGTTGTCCAGTCGACCAAAGCTGGACCAGTCTTATATTGATATTAAAGGTGAATCTTATTGCATTTGAGAGACGATAAGACAGCTCTTTCGTTCACCACTTCCCAAGATTCATAGGCAAAGAAGTCTGTCGGAGTGGAACAGATTCGCCCAAGTTTCTCACTGCCACACAGCATTAAATAATGAAGTAGAACAAACAAGATAAAAGGAACATATGCATTGATTATTCTAATTCTAAGATGTCGACATCTTCATGTTTCCCAAAAGCACAAGTTAAACAGAGACAATGTTCAATAAGCTGAAGAGAAGACGATGAGGAATCATCGGAGAATCCACGTGAAAATGGGAATCATAGGATAGATTGAAACTGTTTATAAAAGCCCATAGTGTAAAGACGAATAAGCATTTCAAATTTGATGGCTATCTACAAAGAATACATAATTAAAGTATGACGTTCGACAAAAAACGACGTGAGGAAGAAATGTGGTGAAAAGAAAGTAGCAGGAGCCGTGCTCAGAAATTTCAGCTAATCTATCGTTCAATTTACAGATCTACGAACCCAGAACTCCCATTTTTGAATCGGCGGTCTTCCCAGTGCTTTGCTATTTCATTCGGGACTTGAGTTTCCCATCCAAACTGAGATTATTCTTCACTACTTGAACTATGTGATAACATATCATACAATACTGAGCTGGGCTATGCACACCACATGTTCGAATAATATCCCATCTTCGAGATGTCAAATGAGATCAAAAGAATGTCCAGCAGATGCCTTTTCTTGTGAAATTTACTTCCTTAGGTTCGTCATAGTATAAAACAAAACACTGCGACTAAGAATAGGAGTATTTTGACTTCGATATAAGCAGTAGAGAGGATGATCTCCATGCTCGTAAGTAAATGCGGCTCTTGTTTTTGTGGTAGGATATGTTATGTCTTAGCCAGAAATTTTAGTTTGAAGAGAACGTGCCTGCTATTTTGTCTCGGGCATTTCCGTTTCATGTCTTAGGTCCCAATCTTGCTAATGCAGCTAGTATTCACTTTGTTAAGAGTAAAATTGATGATAAAGTAGTCGCAAACTTAAGGACGTCTACATACCAGAACGCTTCAGATGTTTTCTTTTTAAAATATGTACTTGCCGGATGTTGCAAGAACGTCTTTTTTTCGGAAGCACAACTTTTGACACATTTGCTGATGATAAATCAAGGTGTTTTGTAAGCACTGAATTTAGCTCACATAAAAAAAAAAGTTATTCTGAAAGACCGCCGACTTAAAAACCCTAAGCTTAACCTTAGAGCATTCATTCGAATAAACAAAAAGGTTAAGTTGAAAAAACCTAGATCACTTACGATTCTCCTCAAAACTCTTGAATTGGCAGCTCAAAGTAAAGATCTCAATTTGGTATCCATCAGATAAACCTCATGAACTAATTAGAAAGATAGTCAATAACATCGTCAGCGCTAACAAAAAAAGCGAATCCACAGTTAGAAAAGAACTTTTGGTAAGAGACCTCGATTGACACGTATATTATAACATAAAATGTAACTGACCTTGGCCACTTCGTTCTTCCCCATTGAGAACCGACGATAGCTGCCACACTGTCGCCGACTCCAGTAGCAGCTACTCCAGCCAGATGATATAGATGTGGTGATTGTTCATTTGGAGAAAGGAACAACGGTAAGAAGACACCTATGTTGAACATCATTACTCAGCAGATAGGGTGACAGAGAAAAATCTGACAGGAAGAAAAAGGTTTAAAAAAATCTTCACCTAGAAGAAGGAATATTGGAGTGAGTAACAGTGCTGAATCTTGTTCATCTTTCATTGATAGAAGAAAATTGTTCAATGCCTGCTCCCAAGGTGGAACTTTAAAGAAGCGAAGAACCTACAGAGGTTTTCATCTCGTCAAATAGCACAAATTCCATCAAAAATGTCGTATCAGAACATTCGACCAAGCAAAGAATAGAATACACTGGTCTGATGACATTAGTTGCAGATTGGCTCTGCCCTCCTAATCTTTTCCATTTTAGAAAAAATGTTTCCAGTGAGAAGAGTATCGTATGATTAGGTGGACAAAAGTTAGAAGGTAGTAGAAAATTTTAGAGAACTTGCTTTTTTTTCAGCTACCAATCTCACTTAGTATGTATAGATTAGTTCTCAGTTCTACCAAAAGGAGACTGATACTTAACCTATAACGGACCGTACAGACACGATAGTGTCCATACGTGCGCCAATTTAAGACTTCGAAAACCATATTCAAAGCTCTTCAAGCCCTTTCTTAACACTTCTCTCATTTCGTAAATTAAGGAGTAGAACGACGATCTCAAGAATTTAGTTCCTTGCGTACAAATAAGTAATTCAGTACTTGTTTTGATGTGTCAATCAGTCACGCTATGAATGGTCTGTCGCGAATGTGTTAATAAGCAATAAAGTTCCGTAAAATAAACAAGTAATTTTTAAGATGAAGTTTAATAATTATGAAGAGTTTTCAGTAAGAACTGATCACTCACTTCTACAATAACGAACATGCACAACATCATCCATCCACATAACCAAACAAAATCGTGATCATAACGAATGCCAGACAAATAAATCATAGACACCGTCAGATGGAAGAATTTTCTAAATCTGAAGAGAATAAGTCACCTAGTATAGAGGTGGACATGATCTTATCTACCTATGTATTGTAGAACTTCGACCGATTGCATTTACAAAAATGCCAAATCCAATTGAAGCTAAGACGTTACATACCCAAAAGATTAGAAGAAAGTACCTGAAAGATCGTATAGAGTATAGCAAAATTCAGAGAAATTCCAATTACGATACTTGTTCTTAGACATATTCTAAACAAGTAGATTGTCAGTAGATAGGAGAAAAATAATATAAGAAATGAATTTCAAATAATCTACATCCTATATTCTTTATCTTCAGAATAATTGTTCAGTAGAAAGAGAGAAACCCAGTTTGAGTAAGTTCTTCAGATGCCTGAGGTGCAAGTGAAACCTTATACTCTAGCATTTCGCTATATTGACTCCGTGGAAAACCTTATCAATTTTTTGAATGGTCCCTCCAGCGTCATCAACATTGACTGGCTCAGTATTAGAAGATAATGTGTATAACGTTGACCAATCCCCGACAGATTTTCTTGTTTTCGAATTCACCGAATACGTGGAGGTGATTGGATGTAAATCTGCCTCTATAAGTTGCGAAATCCTACCGACGTAGCAACGTAATGCTTCTATAATCTCAGATAAGTTTGGGTTCATTTGTTGATCGCTGAAGAATTGAAGGTGTGGCAAGCGCAGAGTGTGGGATCGAACCAAGTACTATGCGTGTGTCATAAGGCACATCTAACGGCTACGCTACAAATGCCCTTTAGTTTGATGTAAAATGCAGTAACAGCTACCAAACATTCCTTACGATAGAAAAAATTGGAAGAAGTCAGCAGTTTTTCACATTAGCTCAGCCATGATAATAGTAGAGTTAAACCGAACGAGGCGGAGCTAGCGCCTTGTCCAATCATACCCAAAGGGATGAAGTAGCAGACGTATGCATGCTTGCAACGGTTTACGATAAGCGAATTTTAGTTAAGAGATGAGGAAGAAAAAGAGCATCAAGAGAAAAAAAACTGGATTGGCCCCAAACTTTATGATAGTCTAGTAAGTATGAGAAAACTACAAAAATCTTGAAGGTTGACCAAAAAACTATGTCCTGAACTGGTTTAACCCTTAAGATACTGCCGTTCATAGCAAGCG